CTAGTCTTACACTGCTAAATTAGGGACGGCTAGCGCAGATAGCTTTGCGCGAAATTCAAAACAAACAATATAACACGTATACACTTGGTTCCTACCCCCAGTGGCACAGCGGTATGTCTACGGACTTACAACGCTAGAATCCGGGTTTCGATACCCGTGGTGGGCAGAGCACAGATAGCCCATTGTGTAGCTTTGTGCTTAACTTCAAACAACCAAACACTTGGTTCCCGACAAATTCTCAACCATTTGATAATGCAATTCCACCACAGATAACTTATGGCTGGAGCATTATGTTATAGCCTGAAGGAAGTTCGTATAGCGAGAGTGTTAAATTATACAGAACCAAAGAGCACTACATATCAAAGAAAGAAGCCTGTAATATTCTTCTCGGAAGCGGAAACTCGCACAGCAGAAGACGGCAACGGATTTCCAAACCACACAAGAGCCATTCCTTAGTGACGCCCTTATCCTCAAAGTAAAGAGGTGTGGTTGTGAAAGAGAACCATCCGACCCATAAAAACAAAACAAAAAACAGTTCGATAAAGCATGGTACCTTTGCCAAGATAATGAAAAAGGTTGTAAGTTGACGAAGGCTCATAGACTAAAAGTTCAAAAGCTTCAACCACACCTCGAAATCAACAGCTATTTTCATAGGAAAGATGGTCGAATCACAGCAATCCCGTTCGACCACAAACGTATCAAGTCTCCATATGCAGCTCCAATGAGCTTTTGTACCTTCCACCTGCTTAATCGTTGTTTTGAAGTCGACGTCCATGTACACTGCACTGTGGAAAGTCTGTCAAAATACGTGGTTTAATAATAACCTTCATAAAACCTTGTTACGATGGAACTGCGGTCGGGCAATAGTGGGTAGAAATAAGTATTAGACCACACATATTTAAAAATGGAGGAAGTAGTTCCAAGGATAACACAGCACGTGCGATAAATCATTAGTGTATATATATATATAGTTTGCATGTTTACGTCAGTACAGCTTCCTTAGCATTGTCTTTCAACAAGTAAGTTAAAATGTTTGCTTGTTGGATTAATATTACCATCATTGCTTCATAATACATCTTCATCAATTGCTAGCACAGAAGAACTTTGGGGAACTTCCAGGGTCTGAAATATATATATATATATATACATACTTTACACAAATAGAAGTCGGAAACAAATTGCTTTTTTACGTGAGATTTGGATCACTGGAAGCATCTGGGACTGAGAGTGATCTACTGGTTAGTGTGCTTGGACTGTAAATCCGAAGATGCGTGGTTCATGGCGTATTACCACAAAAATGCGCTCAGGACTTTGAGACTGTGGATGCACTATACATTTGGTTGTCAAATCGCATTATTCAGTCAGACAAGAGTAGCCCAAGAATTGACAGTGGTTGCTGTTCTCTAACTGCCTTCCCCCTAGCCTTTTATTTCAAAATATGTATCAAATACTTTAGAACAAGTGTCAGTCAGAATTGCCAACGTAATTTCTTTCTTTCAGTTTTTGTGTATTCTTCACGCTCTTTTTATTACGACTCTTAGCCAAAGATGCTCTCATTTGTCAACAGTTGCATTACTGTATGAACTAGCGGAACACAAAATGATACCATTATTCTTGCTTTTCAGATCAAATGGTACTTCAAGCAAGCATCAGTGATATACGTGTAGATAACCTCACAGACCCATTAGTATACGTAATGAGGTCACCAGTGATAGGCAAAGTTTTTTGTGTGTTCTGGAAAGAAAAAGGTTTGTTTGTTTTGTATTGCCTCATTATAACTTTGCTTGGTTTTTGCTTGATTTAACTGAAAAAAGAATTAAAGTAAATGCTATGTATTATGAATTCATTTTATTAAAACAGTACCATTATGGTAATTCAGCGCGTAATATTTCTCAGAATTCGATTTTCAAAATAAAGGATCGTTATTAGGGAGTTGATTATCTTTTATAACTAACACGGGTTTTTGTTTATATCACTGATTGTTTTTTTACAATGTTCGAGTGTGATAACATATTTACTACAAATCTGAACTCATCGCAAAAAGGGTCTAATTGCAGAAATATGTCCCGGCTTCGTGTTACAATACAAAAAGATATTGAAATGTTTAACCTGAAAGGCATCTTATGAATACGTGGGCTAAGCAACCTAGTTACGGACGCCTAAGATTCAGGTATAGCCGTCATAAATTTCGAGCTACTAATAAAGAGGTAAAGAAGACAACCAGAAGCATCTGCTGACACAAGGGCTTTGTTCGGCTCTGTGAGCCAAATATGGGACTGACTCTTATATGTGCCCACACCTGAAGCACAGCGCGTGTGCAGTATCATCGGGTTTCGGACACAGACCTTTCGACTCGCAACCCAACATACTAACCACTAGGTCACACCTAGCCATAAAATAAGAGAGAACAGTAAATAATGAAGTTTCCTGTGAAATAAGACACTATATAGGTGTGGATATTAGTAGTTGATAAACAAATGTTTCACCTTGTTTGTTGTCATCGTCTCAAATTGTCTGAAATGCAATACTGTCACCACAGTTTACAATTAAACCCTCATTATAAAAGCGTTACAAAAGCACCGATAATTGTCCTAATCGCAGAAATTATTACATATACAATATTAAAAATGAAACACTTCTAATCGCCTTCCTGATCACCATAATATTAAAGTATGCGTCCAGTTGTAAGAACGATTTTAAATAAACAACACATGTTTATCACCCAAGTTTGCCTTGACACGTATCGAGAGCCAGAAAAGCCGTAGTGTAATTGAAGTAATTCATATTAAGAACATTTAACTTTTACTTGTTACGTATTACAATGTCGAATGGTCTGAAACCAAGCTAAATGATAATTTAAATTTAGTAGTTAAATAAATGCCGATATTCTTGAATAATACTATTCACTAGAATTCTGCCGGTTCTGGCTTATATACACCTGGAAAAAAGTTAAGCACCCCCGTGTTTTTTTCAAGTGATTCAGATTCGACGTTCTTGTGACTGATTATAAATTACCATTCAATCTAAACGTGTT